TTTCCTGCAACTATGTAAAGTAGTTCAAATTATTTAAAAAAATATCTATATCGTGGAAATAAATCTTAAGTCACTACAAGTAATCCATTCTTTAGGATGCAGAATATTTTGGATTGGGGTTAACCACCGCGACCTTACAGATCTATGGCGTTTTCCCATTTGTTGAGTTATAATGATCATACTAACTCATCATACAGTCTCAGGGGTTTAACAAAAACCAGTATCTGCGACGGCTCCACAAAAGCCAGCTCTTCATCTTCGACATCAGCCGTAACAAAGTTTTTGGCACGAACAGTTGTCGTCTCATCAGTGCACTCAAGGATAAGGTGTTCTGGTGTTTCCCCATTTTCGCCACAGAATCTACATTCGCCGTTGTTTCTCAGCTTCAATCTACTGAGGTGCTCGTTGAGGAGACAGCGTCCTATTAGAAACGTCGTGACAGTCCGAAGATTGTTCTTACTTAAATCAAGGAAAATCTTTGATTTTTTTTCCAATCTTTTAGACCGTTGGAGGATTCCCATTCCAGGTTACGGACGAAGTCTTCTATGTTCTTGAGTTCCGCTTTAAGTTAGTTTCCACTTGGAAAGCAGAATCGTCTAGTTAGCATAATGGTCTAGAAGCATGGTCTAATTAATGGAGTGTTCAGCTATATCGTTTGCTTTTTCATTGCCTTCTATATATCCCTTGGTGAGTGGGCATCCAGAGTAGGAGGATTTTATTTTCTTTGCCTAATTTGTTCAGTTTCTCTAGGCATTCTTTGATTAACTTCGAACTGATGTTTACTGAGTTAATCGCTTTAAGTGCTGCTTGACTATCGGATAAGATGAATATTTCCTGTTTTCGATAGTTCCTATCAAAGATAAATTGTACGCATCTTTCGATAACGTAGATTTCTGCCTGAAGGATGCTGGGGTAGGTACCCATTGGTTCGGAGTAATTAGTTTTCGGCCCAAATACTCCTATCCCTGTCCCTGCTTTGGTTTTGGAAGCATCAGTGTACCCGTTATGGTATGGTCTTTTATGATGGTGACTTTGATGACAGCGATCTTATTTCTAGGCAATCTATGGTGCAATAAAGCGTACAAAAACACATCAATCTACTTTCTTGAACTTTTCTTTATAATAAGCCTGAACGGTTGGTACCTGTGTTGGTATGCTATGGATATTGTGCTATGATTTGGGTAGAAGAATGAAAGATATGCCGTCGTGTTTTTTTACAATATCTTTAATATGGTCTGCCTGAAGAGGGAATATTATGCAGTGGCGGCTCGTGACTCGTGTGACTGGGTAGGCAACAAAATTTTAGTTGCGTCTATTTGCCCCCCCCCCCCTCCTAAATTTACATAATACCCTAACCCAGTTCGTAAATATATGTTATCCCTGGGTTAAAAGCATAGCTCAAGAATATTTACAAAACTAAAGGAAAAGTGACAGCATTCAACGTAATGACATAATGATTGACATAATGTACAAGTATATGTTTGTTTATCACCGATATTTATTTATATATTACTATGGAGTTACTATGGAGTACATCATAGAATTTTATTTTATTTATTTACGCAAACTTAAAAAATTGGTAGTATTGAGAAAAAGAATAATTATGTTTTATATATTAAATTGATGAGTCGGTCTCTTGATAAAGAAAAGTTATTTAATATTATATCAGTAAAATCATCAGATTATTGAAAAAAAAAAATTGTGAAAAGATCTTTTTAGATTGAAAGTAAGGCAAGTGGCGATAAACGTTTATTTTTCATGGAATCTCTACAATTTTAATGCATTTCAAACATGAAAAATGTCTCTCAACCCAAATACTTACTTACCGATAGTAAATTGTGTAGTAACAATCAAAACCAACAATTTGAAAGCCTCTGGAAATATATTTCCAGGTTTATTCTACTTAAATTAGTTTATAATCGAAATTATCATATCTATTATTAATACCAGCAATTTATTCATTAATTTATGTTGGTCAATATTTTATGTTTGTTAAATCAATATTGAATGCGTTGGAAATGTATCAATATAACAAATTTGTTAAATCAGATATTAGATGCGTTGGAATTTTTTTATAAGATTCTTTAAATTTCAGATTTATTAGGATAAATAAAAATAATTGAGACATACGAGTATCTATCTGCAAACCTTAGTTCTAATGTACCTATAACAATGTTATCTAATATTTCATAAAATTTATTAACATATCGAATTAATTAACACACTGAGGCTTTTCTGTAATATCTGTTGTATGAATCTATTGAATTTTCATATAAAAGTTTTAAATGCTCCTTAACGAAATGTGATATATCCCCTTATAAAATATCGGGAATATCCCCTCAACTTCTAAGCCTACCGAGCCTCCACAACTTCATGCGAAGGCGACCGGAGATTTCGCTTAAGCCCCGCCTTAATACGATACAACTCCGACTTACGTCGCGTCGCTACCGCACGATGAGTTAGACAGAGACAGAAGACGTACGTGTACGTCGTAAATCGACTCTGATAGTAGGCGATGTAGAAATCGCCAAACTATGGCGTTTGTTCCAACGGTCAAAATTATTTTATCAATTTTCTAACGCAGCGGACGCCAGCGGTAGTGAATATTTTATTATACAAGGCCACAAATATTAAAATAATATAGATTATTATAACACACTTCCGTGTATTAACAGTATTTTTATGCATTGGTAACATTAATAGTGAATAATGTAATGTAACAAACCGCTTAAATTCTGCCAAAATTTTAGGGTAGGCGCCGCCTACCTTGCCTACCCTGACGAGCCGCCACTGATATTATGAGAACTACAGTTGTCTAAACATTGAGCACAATTTTCGAAAATACTGCATTTGACAAGTATAGTTCCTACATGATGAATCACCAAATTTCTGAACATTTGCGTATCTGGACAAGATCGCTTTCAAAAAAACGATAATGGTGATGGTCGTCTTAAGGCAATAAAAAGTCTTGAGCTCAGTGTACCTACCATACGTTTTAAAGGGAGGAGTCTGCAAAACTAGATTTCGAAGTCTGTTATCATTAGTTACGATCAGTTAAGTCAAAAAATTGTAAAAATTATCAATGAATTGTCTTTCTCTATAGAATGCGTTATATTTTTGTTCGTTAAGCGAATTTGGTTTCGAGAAAAGAGCGACTGTAACGTTTTCCGGATTCTCTGGATTTTTAAGTCATTGACATTTTACAAAAAATAAAGAAAAAATTTGTTTCATATTTTTGTCTACATTTTTTTTGTCATTTGGACATTTGATATTATGTATATTTATGGTAGCGCGAATTTTGATTGCTTATTTTTTTTATTTTCTAATTTTATCTAACTTCTTCTAAACCCACACCTCACACTCTTTAAGTATAAAAAGCCTGTAAACAGTTTAACTATAAAATGTTCAAATAATCAATATTATAGTTTCTTTGCATTAATTTGAATTTACTATATCGATAAGAGAGTCTTGAGTCGGCCTTTATATGTTAAATTTTGGCAGCATACGTAGGATAACTGAAAGCATTTTATAAAAATATACAGAATTATACAGGGTGTCCCCAAAAAAATTACACATCAAAGTTGTATTTTTTCTAATACCCTATATATTAATTGATTTTTGGATTCTAGGAAAAAATAAAGATGAGTTTTATTAGAGAAGCATATGCCTAAGCTGTAAGGATTTTGACATATTTCACATTTTGTGAAAATGAAGAGTAAATTTTAAATTTCAATAACAGCTACCTAAATCTTAATTTACCCTCTATAGCCTAATATTTAATTACATTAACCAATTGTATGTTAATCCAAATTAAAATTTGGCCCGCAAAATTATACAGGCTGAGACAAAATTAATATGGAACATTGGTTACTTTTAAAAGCAAGTTACTCCTTTATTTTAAATGGAACACACAGTACACATTGAACACCAGTTCTGGTGTTCAATGGGGAATTCATATATCTTCAAAATATTATTAAGTTTACCTACGCCTCAGACAAAGATTTTCCTAGATATTTTAATTTTTATGATTTTGTTTCAGTAGATCTTTATTATTTGAAAAAATCTAGGTGGCTGTGATATACCTTATGTTAATTTAACAAAAAATAAAGGATGTAGAGTAAAATATTCAACGTTAATAAAAAGATACACGTTTAAAACATATTTTAATTATTACAGAATTAAAACTAGATATAAACCTATAATTATGTGACAAAAATGATCTAGATAAAATCAAATGTTCAAAATGCTTCCTCTCCTGTTAACTGCATAAACCGATTCTCTGTTCAAAATATCTTTTCATTTTAAAAGGCATGTGTGGAGTTCTGCTTCGTAAAGCAGCTACAATTTTATTATTTTAGTCATATACTTCTCTAATAAAACTCACCTTTATTTTTTTCCAAAATCCGAAAATCAATTAATAGGTATATAGGGTGTTCCATTACAAAAACACAACTTTGATATGTAACTTTTTTAGGGACATCCTGTAGAACTCTCTATATTTTTAAAAAGTGCTCTGAATTAACCTACATATGCTCACAAAATTTCATTTCAATGCAAACTGGCGCCTTGGAGCCTCCGCGTCGTATGAGAGGCGCCACCCTGTATCCTGTATACGAGTGAATCGCTATGGCAATCTTGTAAGTCGGAGAGAGAAAAATACGAAGTGTTTATTATATAATCACTTAATCCGGCGCTATATTTCCTGCACTTGGGAAAATACTTACTCCAGTACATCTTACTGTAGACACTGAGCGTATTGAGTGTAAGCACTGAAATCCGAACCCAAAGCTAGACATTGCCAACCCTGTATATTTATAAACAATTTTTTTTTCTATTTTTTCTTATTTCTTTAGATAATTTTACAATTTTGGCTTGTACTTAGACAGAAATATAAAGACGGCATATGTCTATTACAAAAATACAACTTATGTAAAATTACCTTATAATAATTATGATATATGATATCATTAAGAAAGTATCGAATTATCCTACAGTCTTACCGTCTTCATTGTGATGTTTTGTGACTCCAGAGTACTATTATCCGGCGCATCCGGCAATATATCTGGAAGTTCTTCTTCCGCTTCTCCCAAGAACATGGTCAAATTTTTCAAAGGCGTATTTACTAACGTGTTCACCATGTGGACAGGAACCGGAACAGGCTGTTGGTGCAACTCGGTGATGTTTTTGCGTTGACCAGTACCATTAACTCCGAGGTTGTGAATAACTCTCACATTTAAATCTTTCGTATTTACACTTTTCTCTGTTTCAGCTGAGTTTTCTTGATGCTTTTTCTGAAAAAAAATATAATTCAACTTATTTGAAACTATTCTTGTTTATATAAAAAATACAAATCAACCATAGTACAATACATCAATAACGAAAAGTTTTTCAAAAATTATGGACCTATGTTTCGCGCAACATGATCTAAACTATCATCAGAAATAATTGGATGTAAATTCTTGTACAATTATTGTCAAAGAGTGTAGATAATATGATCAGGAAACTCAAAGAACTAATTATGTATTACGTGAGTAATAATCTTCGAATAAAAAGATTAAGGAAGGAGCATAATATTATCCATGGCGACATTTTGTCTCAAAATGTAGCAACAATTCCTCTGCAAGATCAAAAAACAGTTACTGCTGATGTGCTGATTGGTACATATAATTATTTGTTTGCCGGAAATAATTGCAGAGTTTCGAAAAAAACAACCCTCTATCAATGTAATGCAACTTCCCACACAACTCGAAAAACAATTAAGTTTTTAAAGTAACAAAACCGTATTTACCTAGATATTTTTTACTTATTTTGTATAACAACTCGGATTCAATTTGAGAAACTATCGAGACTTGCGCTTGTCCTTTGACTGCCAGAATATTTATGATATCAGCTACTGCAGTTGAAACGGTAGGCCAGGAAACGAACACCAAAAAATACCGCAATTCGGAAAAAAATAGTGCCAAAGAAATTATTGTTTTAAGTGGTAGGGTTGACCCTTAGAAGTAACATACCAAAAGTCCCCGGCCATAGACCTTGTGCGTTAGCCGCGGGGGGAGGGGGAAGGGGTGAAAAGGGCCGGTTTATATATTTTTCGTTATTATCTCGAAAACTAAGCATCCTAGCGGAAAACATGTTCTATACAAAATAAAAGTAAATTCAATTGTTTACAAAAAAGATCCTATTCATTTTTTCGCTAGGAGCAGTAGTGAAGAGTGTATGATACTTTTAAAATGCAAAAATTATGAAAAACCATGTTTTTTTTGTTCACTATGGCGCACTGTGGTATTTGATGGTTACGGTGATGCCAACAAAACCAAAAGGGCTGAGCAAAAACGAAGGAAACTTTCAAAACCCTAAGTCAACATCCACTTTGATGAGACCACATGCTGCACTATTCAGCAGCCGAACTTTTTATCTAATGAGTTTAACAAAACCAGGCTTATCAACTTTCTTGCAAAAAAAATTGAAGTTCAAGGACTAATAGCAGTAGTAGCCACAGGAGATGCTGATACCTAAATCGTAAGCTGTGGTTTGCAGGCAGCTAACCAGCATCAAACTGTGACAGTCATAGGGGAGGATGCTTTTCTTTAAGCCAAGCAAGGGAAAGGTGGAGTCACGTTGGTATAATGTCGCCAACCTCTAAAAGCTGCCATATGCGAAGACCATTCTGTTACTCCATTCGTTCAGCGGTTGTGATACTACCTCCGCTATTTATAACAAGAGCAACGGAGGGGTGGTTAAAGTATTTTTAAAGGCTGAAGAGGAGGTCACAGACATTTACAAAGTCTTCTCTGATCCCTTAGCAACACAGGTCATGGTAGTTGATGCAGAAGAGCTGCCTTTTTTGGCATTGTACCAGGCCCCAAAAGGAGCAGACCTGAGCCGGGTACGACACCAAATATTAATAATACCTTTGTTAAAGCGTCAACAAAGCCCAGGCCTGATTTTGCGGCACTTCCACCCACTAGAGGCGCTGCTCGCCAGCACTCCCTCAGAGATCATTTGCAGGTTTGTGTCAATATATGCTTTGTTTCCTTAACATTTATTTTGTATTACTGTAATGACCAACAACGAATTAATTATCATGTGCAGCTTCAGCACTGGCTGCATTGAAATCAGCAGCAGGAGCCAACTGCTTGGGGATGGTTGAATGGGTTGGACGGCTTCCTCACCCCTGTCACAAGCACGGATCCAGTTGCGCCAGAATCTGTCCTAAGTAATATATTTTGCGGGTGCAAGACTGGTTGCGGGTGCCGTAAAGCAGGCATACCCTGTTCGCTTGTGTGCAGCACTTGCCGCGCTTCGTGTACCAACGGTCCCCGAATCATCGGCACCAACCAACGGCACGGCGACGACGATGATGATGATAACTTCGACGATGAACTCGAACAATAAAGTACTTGATATTATCATATATAAACTTAAATACTTATATACTTATAAAAAAATTCTGGTTTGTGTTAATCTTCCACAATACACAGTTTTTTCCACCTATTCGTATTTTCAAAGTATTATACACCCTTAACTACTGCTCACAGTGAAAAAATGAATAGGACCTTTTTTGTGAACAATTAAATTTACTTTCATTTTGTATAAGCTTTTTTTCGCTAGGATGCTTAGTTTTCGAGATAATAACAAAAAACCTATAAACCGGTCTTTTTCACCCCTTTCCCCTCCCTCCACGACTAACGCACAAGGTCTATGGCTGGGGACTTTTGGTATATTACTTCTCTGGGTCAACCCAACCATTTAAAACAATGGTCTCTTTGACACTATTTTTTCCGAATTCATGTTTTCGTTTCCTGGCCTACGGGGATACTCACAAACAAGCTAAGATAATAATTTGGTTACTGCACAAAGCTTGATTTTCATGCGTCCGTTGTCCGATGATACGATGATACGATATTAATTTTATTGGTTGAATTTAAAGACTTCGATTGGTTAACCGTCTCTAACTAATCGAAGTCTTTAAATTCAACCAATAAAATCAATATCTTATCATCGTATCGTCGGACAACGGATGCATGAAAATCAAGCTTAAGTTGTGCTAGGGTGTATCCTGAAGGACTTATTATAGAAAGTCGAAGAAAATGCCATCATCATATGTGGAGCTTTATATGTACGTACATATATGGTAGCGATACGAAAAAGAAAGGTATACTTAATAACTAATTGATCTGTATGCTTTTGGGTGCTTCGACCCATCGTTTTTATCTTATGGGTTATGCTGAAACGTGCGAGCACTATTCGAATAAGTTGTGCTAGGGTGTATCCTGGAGGGCTTATTATAGAACGTCGAAGAAAATGCTATCATGCTTTATATGTGGAGCTTTATATGTACGTACATATGGTAGCGATACGAAAAAGAAAGGTATACTTAATAACTAATTGATTTGTATGCTTTTGGGTGCTTCGACCCATCGTTTTTATCTTATGGGTTATGCTGAAACGTGCGAGCACCATTCGCTTAGACTAGTGTGGGACTGTGTGTGTTTTAAATACGCATACGTTAGGTGAACGTAGCATTGTTACGTTGGTCTGGGTATCAGAGCCAGAGTTGTTAAACTATAAACTACACGTAGTAATTAATAAACTACATTTACTACATGCCACAAGTAGTTTTTTAAATGTCGAGTAGTAAATATGTAGTTTATGTAACTAATGTAGTTTTTTTAAATAACAGTGAAAACATAACCTAAAAACTTTGTTTGTTGATCAATTTAAAGAAATAAAAAATCTATATTTTGTGAATTTGTTCCTTATTATGTGATATTTTTGATACTTATTAGTAGATAAAAATGTTTGGAAGACGTCGATGTCTCCATACCTTGCTCGGTACCTTCTGGGAAGAGGGGAATTATGAAGTTGTGCCTTTAGATTATAGCATTCTCCTGGAGAATGTCTATGGAGAATTTCTCCTTAAGAATTTATAGTTTATTTTGTGTTTACAATGTTACTTTGTATTTCGTAGAAAATACACTTTTGTTGAAAAAAAATTGTCTTTTTTTCTGATGTTGTTTAACTTATACAAATATAATATAACTTCATACTTCCATGATAAAAATTTGGCTTGATTTTAGTTTAAAGTCTAAATCGTTTATGTTTTACTCTATTTTTGTAGGTAGTTTTTAACGTAGTTTTTGTGTAGTTTTTGAAAGAAGTTTTCAAAATTTTAAAACGTAGTTAATACAAAAAACTACGCGTAGTTTTTGGCGTAGTTTTTTGCTTCATAAACTACTTAACAACCCTGATCAGGGCACGAGGGTAAGGCTAAGAACATAGTGGAGCGACGAGGATAGCGGCGAGCAAGCAGCGCGATAAAGCGATAAGTCGAGCAATCCTCGACGCCAAAACATAGTAAAGCGGCGAGGAATAGCGAGGTACTTGTGCAAATGTATTATTTTCATTTGCTTATTGATAATTTAAAATGTTAACAGTGGCTACAATTCTGGGCAGTAGTGTCGCTAAAATTTGGTTTTAGGAAATTTTCAAAAACCGGAGAAAGTGTGGCAAGTTTTATAACCTTTACGAAAATTTGTTGCCACTTCATTTCATAACTTATCTAAAATGTACCGGTTATGGTGATTACTATCTTTCTGATCCCATAAAATCTCTCTTATAATTACTAAATTTATTAATTTTTGGAAATCCATCATAATTCTACAGCGCAACAGAGCGACGAAAACAACATCATTTGAATCGATCTCGCTGCTCGATCTAACCGCTCGAGCAGATCGCTTTACTATGTTCGCACGTACTAGTCTTCACAGGTTTGTTTTGGACGCGATGTCTTGCTAAACTTTGTAAAAAGGATAGGATTGGAGAATGTATCCTAAGGATCAGAAGAAGACCACAATAGATCTGAGAAGGTCGCAGTGGATCGCAGTCGCAGTCGCAGTGGAGACCGAGAGCCACCTCTAGGAATCTAATATAATCTAACCATTCACTTCAAATCAATTTTCCAAAACCTCCATTTTGAGTTTTGAGTTACGATGTCGCACTTTTATGTATTAATCTTTTACGTGATTATTCCGAACAAACAAAAAAATAATATTAATTAATAAATGAAAAATAAAAATATTAATTAATCATAATTTTACAATTATTTAACTAACCGATGACGCGACGTTTGTATATTTAATATCTTCGTATTACTTTAGCTATTCGAGTTAAAATTATGTGCATTATTTATGTAAAACATTTGTTATTAAATAGCCAGTATGCCATAAGAAAGAATTACCATACATATACCTCAGATTATGAAAATATACCATATATATACAGACTAATCATATATAATTCATATCAAATAAACTTTTAGTCGCGTAATTAAGGTTGACCGGCACAGCGTTGCCCAATCTTACATATTTTCTTTTAATCAAAATATTTTAGGAAACAAAAATAAATTAATTATAAATATATAAAGAGTTATTATTTCCATCAACAAAACGCACTTTCTTAACAGTACTTAAGGGACATAAAGGGCCATTGCCATTACTATCGCTTTCCCATTCAAAATATTCAAATAAAGATCCAATGAGTTTTTTACGGCTATTAAGCTATCTTGTACCACGTCGCACTAAAAGAGATTCTAAAAAGAACAATGTTCGATTCTATTCGAAGGTCTGCTAGTAAACATTTTTTAGCTTAAAGTATCACAACACTATTCATTTAAACCAAAAACTCGTATTATACAAAACCAAAGTGTCAAAAAAAATGACAATGTCATGCGATTCATAACGATAATTTCACTCGAAATACCAAGTGTGTGGTACCAAATTATTCGCAAAATAATGCTTTTTCCAAATATGCTTTTTCCAAAATATGCTTTTCCAAATATGAGCCACCCTCGTTCCATTTGAAAAAAATGAGATTGAGATATGATTAAAAATTCTATTTGAGCATCTTTTAACCGACCTGGACAAGACACGAATAACATTAGACAATCGACTATTTTTCCAAGACTCCTTGATTAAAAATTAGTGTTTTTAACACAGCCATGGCACTCTAGATTGAAATTTAAAATTCACTTTTGTTTTAAGCAAAAATGTCAAAAGCTGACATATGATATGTCATTCTATTTAGAATGTCATTTTCTATCGAATAAAGTAAAAAAATACCGAGGGTGCCATTTAAAAATCAAAAGTTGTAGTAATTTCCGGTGGAACAGGAAGTGACAGAAAACAATTGAATACCGTGAATCAATCCTAATTTTATGTCATAAAATATACTAATATACCAAATCTCGTTTTTTTATCTGATAAAATAAAAAAGTTATAGGGGTGAGCCACTTTTGAGACGCACCCCGTATATTATTGCATTTTTGGCTTCCTTTCAGATCACCTTGCATAATCCTAAGATATGAGTAAATATATTTCGATAGTTTCAGAGATATTAGTAAATAAATAAAAAATATATATATTTTCAGTCTTTCTTAAAAAAATTATTATAAATACAAGAACTCTTCTGAAATCAAAACTATATTAAGTATTTACTTTATATGGTCTGTTCTTACTTTGCTATGAATATGGTAATCGTAAATCTTACAGAATGTTCAAAATTCTACGCAAAACTTTCTAAAATATAAAATAATTTTTCTTTGTTTTTTTTTGATGAGGAGTTATGAAATTGATGAGGAGGATGATGGGGAGTTAAAAAATGAACATTTTTTGTATTTAAAGTATTTCAAAATTTTTAGTGGTTTGGCAGGTACACGCTGTATTATTTCATATGGCGCTTTCAATAGTAAAATATGAGAGAAAAATCATTGTGTGGCTTTGATAAAAATTTACTGTGGAAAATGCCATAAGAATATAAAACCGCGAATATCTGCGAAACCGTTAAAAATTTTGAAATATTCTCAATACAAAAAAATGTTTATTTTTTAATTCTTCATATAACAAAAGAATAATAGACAGGGCGTTCCATTAAAAAAACGAAGAAAAATTATTTTATATTTTAGAAAGTTTGGCGTAGAATTTTGAACATCCTGTATGATTTACAATTTCCATATTTATAGCAAAGTAAGTACAGACCAAGGAAATACCTATATTGTTTTGATTTCAGGATAGTTCTTGTATTTTTAATATTTTTTTTAAGAAAGGCTAAAAAATATATTTTTTTATTTATTTATTAATATATCTGAAACTATCGAAATATATTTACTCATATCTTAGGATTATATAAAGTGATCTGAAAGAAAGCTATTGAAAAAAAATATCCCGATCCACTCACACTTTTTTGAGCCACCCTATAGAAGTTAAAATATTTTCCTGAAATAAATCCTAGTACATACTTTAGGTATGCACTATGGTTAGTCAAACGCGCGTCCAGTGTAAAAGTAAAAGTGTATTGGTGTATTGTGGTGATTTAGTGTTTTATTTTGCTGTGTAACATCGAAGGTTCCAACCCCCAACTGTAATGCACTTAAACAAAATTCTCAAGTTTTTTATTTTACATCTAATCTCGTACCCTTCTTTTAAAGCACTTTTATTGGGGTGTAGCACTTTTTAAGTTATCTCTATTTTACATACCTCTGGTAATATACTTTTCGTTACATTACTGGATTGAGTACTTAATTCTAAAAGATTTTCTAAGTCTCTACGATGTCTTTGGCTGCTTATCTGGTCAAATTGAACTAAGCCTCCATAGTATGAAGGATTGCTTACGTCACTAAAGGGAATGGTCTTATAATAGTAATAACCTGAAACAAAATATAATAATTAGCTTTGTGAAAGTAATATACGAGCATACGTGTTCTTTATCATGAATTGAATAGTTCCATAGTAAACCTTTTGTATTTAATTGGAAATTCCATAAAAAATTTTAACTCTTCCCTAATCCAATTGAAAATAACTATTTAAATATTTTGCTGTTACTATTTTCTGGTTCATTGATAATATTTCTATGTAAAAAATTGTACATAACAAATGTGCGGTTATTCAACTGACAATAATAGTCATAAAACGAATGTTGGCTATAAATAAAGCCGCAGCCTTCGCATAGTTCATAAAGACATAAAAATGGGTAATGGGTCGAGTAATTAATTAGTCATTAGAGAATTAAACTAGTAAATAACATATATTTTTTAACTGGCAGTAGCTAGGTATATTTCCAATAGGTATACCATATCTTGAATTCAACAGCGCCTCATGGCAACAAATCTTAGAGGCACTGGATAGAAGAGGCATCGAGAAGATCTGATTAAGATCATATCATCATATCTTTCAGATCGGTCATTACAGATGGAAGCTGAAAATACTACAAAAACGCTAATCATAAATATTGCAAGGCTCAGTTTTGGGTCCCGCATTGTGGAACATTTTATATGATGACTTGCTTAAAGTAGAAATGCCTGAAGGCGTTACATTAATAGGGTTTGCAGATGACCTAGCTGTGTTAGCAGTAGCCAAAAATGAATGTATATTAATGGATGTTGTTAATACCTCGCTGCTAAGAACATGTAAATGGCTGCTTAGCAAAAACTTGAGATTGGCCCCGCAAAAAACTGAAGCTGTTCTCCTAACTGCTAAAAGAAACTTATCTCCTATAACGTTTCAGATAGCAGACACTACAGTTATGCTATGCCAAAACAAGCTATTAAATATTTACGCGTATGGATAGACACAAAAAACTATACAAAAGGTCGAGGGCTATCCAAAGGTCGAAACGCTTATTAAGTCGACTTTTATCAAATATCGGAGGACCAAAAATGGTCTAGAAGGCGCGTTCATAAGGGTGTGGCGCACTCACAAATTCTGTATGCGGCTCCAGCGTGGCACAAAGTGACGGAAAATAAAATACTTGTTCAACAAACATTTTAGTACTTTTTTTTTAAAAAAAAGTCTTGTACCAAACCAAACCAACTAGGTAGGATTCAAAGAACTGCATGCATCCGAGTTGCATGTGCGTATCGGTCAATATCGAGAGAGGCCCGTAAATATAATATCTAAAATTACTCCCATAGAACTGCAAATAATAGAAAGGCTTGAAGTCTATGAGGGTATTGCAAAAGATGAAACCCGAAAGAACCTAGTGAAACGCTGGCAGCATAAATGGGACAACGAAATCTACTGACGCTGGACACACAAGCTTATCCCAGACATTGAGACATGGCTAAACTCGAAAGGCGAAGTGGACTATTATTTATAACGCAAGCATTCTAAGGATACGAGTGTTTTAGACAGTATCTCTACAAACGAAAAAGGTCCAGTACCGATCTTTGCAAATACTGTAGCACAGTGGACGACGTTGAACATACCCTGTACTACTGTTCCCGATGGAGTCAACAAAGACATCAATATCAAATACGCACTTATCAATAGTGCTCCGAGTATAACTGGAGTAGCAAGAGCACAAAGACTGAGATGGCTGGGACACATTGAAAGAATGGCTGAAGCAAGAATTCCTAGTATGATAATGAAACGTGAAATAGGTGGAAAGTTGAAGGAGGGATAGACCGAGAACCAGATGGAAAAAAGATGTTGAGGAGGACTTGAGAAGGATAAGAGTCGAGGGGTGGAAAATAAAGGCGAAATACAAAAACAAATGGAGAAAGATAATCAATCAAGTCATGAGCCTTGTAGGCTTTTAGAGCTATTATGTATATTTCAAATGAACAACGCATTAAAATGTGTATAAAGTCAGCTTTGGTTTCCATTTATCTAAATGCAACATAGACCAATAAGTTCATGTTAGCTCCTATTACAATTACGTCACAAAAGTGGCTTGTCACGATGCGACAGTTGGCCTATATTTCATAATAGTTCACCTGTTCATTAAGTACTATATGTTTATAACCTTAAATCTATTAAGCAATAAAAAACAGAAAATCGACCAATCGCATACAATAAACACAGTTTAGTTTAAATCGAATATGCTTGATCCGAATAACCTTTGGCAACAATAAAGTGATTTAATAGGATGTTATACGAGTAAGTGGATTGACCTCTTTTTTATTTTGTCCGAAAATTATTGAGTCGGTAGTAAAGAATAATAAGACGGTAGATATATGTTACAGTAAAAGCCAGAAATCAATGAATGCTAACAATTACTAGTAAAAGCTCACATTCACTGATTTGTCAACACTATGCCAGTTCATCAACTAATTTTGAAATAAACTTTTACAGTTAGAATGTTAGTATTCACTAGAGCTTAGTAGTAAATGCTAACATTCAAATTCGCTTTGCTTTTTGACTAGCTTCTAGCAGCTGCCCGTAACTTTAGTATACAGAAACTACGATCAGAGCCTATCTCTCCCGATATAGCAGCTGACTGAAGGAGAAACATATGACTGAAGCTTTGATGTGAGACATTCAATTTTCAAATCAAGACATAAGCTTAGATCATTATGTACCTACATGAATACGTAAATAACTATGGAAGCTGTCGCAAACATATCAAAGACTTACATTTATCTTCTTTCTTTGTTACACTAGCGGTGTTTCTACTTCATCTATCCTTGTCGAGGAACTATCTAAATTTGAATATTATTTTTAAAAATTTATATTTGTATTTAATGCACATATTTCAACATGAAACTGAATGTTTACTGTCAAATAAATAAAATTATATAAAAAATACATTAGCCAAATATTCTTAAGAAATCTAACCAGAAAGTACTACCACAGATTATACAGATTATAAACTTTGTTTTTTCTTTATTGTTTTTCGTGGTTCCAATTTTCGGAATCGGGCACTAGTTAGGTTACTAGTTTGCGCACATAGCACGCCCACTTATGGCCTGTAAAATTGTGCACAGCGCCTGACCCAAGAACGGTAAACTAATAGGATTGCTCATCCTCATGGTACAAAGAATACAAGGTATGATCGATAGCGGCTCCAATTTCGTTCAGTTCGCGCATACCACCTGTGACGTCACTAGGAAAATTATGAATAAATAAAAAATAAAGAAAGTTGACAGGAGATCTGCATTTTTTGGGGTTATGGTTAAGAATTGTTTATTTTTAAGACTTTTTAGTTCGTTTAATTTAATAATTACTAAAACCAGCAGTTCCAAAAATATATTTAAAAATAATTATCTATTAACATGGATTTGGACGATAATAATAGGTAAGAATACTAAATTTATTTCTATATTCGGTATAAAATTGTTTATTAGGTTTTTAGTTTGCGATGTTTATGGTAAATAATTTTCATGTTCATTGCCTCTGAATTCACATGAGGACAGAGATGAGGATATCTATGGAAAAGTAACCACAAGAGGAATTGTTACATCATTTAAAAAATGTTGGGAAGTTGAAGTTTCCCATCGAAAAGTAGAAAATGCCAATGCAGATGAATGTATTGTAATTGTGATAGAAGTAATTCCAAGGGTGAAGTCTATTATAATTAGTGACCTGTGCTTCTTTTTATATGTAGATGTTTCAGGTTTTGAGAATAAATCGGTTGAACGAAACCCAAAATTTAGAGGAAGTATTTGCATACCCAGAATATGACCATCAAGGATTATATAGCTCAAATTTCCTTTAATGGTAGGCAATTATTCAAAAATATATTACTTTTAGGTACAATTAGTGCCCGATACATTTCAAAAAGTAGAATATTATTTTATATTAAATGAGGTGTTGTACCAACAATCAATTTATATTAATACCGGAGATTAAAAAATAACAGAATAAATAGTTCTTTTTTTTATACTACAAAAATAAACTATAGAATACAACAGTATTTAAAAAATAAATAAAAAGTTATGTCCCGGCCGAGATTCGAACCCCGGTCTCTCGCTTCCTAGCCCGACTCCTTACGCACTGCTCCACAGTAACTTGCTTAGCAATAATTCAATGACGGTATATAAACAAAAAAACAGGTTTATAACAATATCTTGACGATTTGAACTGGCGCGCGGAGAGTGCTGACCAATAGCGCCAGTTATCACCTGTGACGTAGCGACCAACCTGCGCAATATCATACCTTGTATTCTTTGTACCATGGCTCATCCTCATAAGACGTACGTTCGCCTCTTCCCGCGCTTCCGCTGACAGTTGTGACGTCATTGTAGCCCTTGTCATGATAGTGTGTATTATTAGTTGCCTATTATTTTGTCAATTTTAAATGTGAAAAAGGTGTCTTTAAAGTTTTTAGAGCTATAGAGTGTATAAATACGTTCATTTTGTGTTGTGGATTGTGCATACTAAGTGCCCACGATTTTGTTTATTAATTATTTTAAAGCAAAATATGGAAGTACTCTAAAAAGAATGCTTGCAAAAGGTGATGCTGGGAACTGCTGTTTTTAAAAATGCATTATCCGAGTATTTAATACGATTTATACAGTTAATTTTCTATACTGCATACATATAAGGTGTTTAAATAAATAAACTAAATAATGAACGTTTTATATTCGGCAACTAATAATGCACGTGTGTGTATTATTGGTTGCCGGATAAGGACTAATGACCATGACAAGGGCTACAATGACGTCGTAAAGCGAGTAGTTTTCGCATGCACCTGGCGGACACTTTTGGCTGTATGAGCAGTCCTATTAGGTTAACTGTTCTTGCGCCTGACCGGCACGGTTATTAGAGAGATATCGGAAAATCGAATAGCGTCATGCAGTATTTACGCGTACCTTATCATGGTTACGATATGCGCGAGTCAATTTTTAACGCAACACCCGCTAATAACGTTACCGCCTGACATAATTTGCGGATCAATTACACCAAGCGCTATTTCTAAATAACGTTT